GTTTAATTAGAGGGTCGTTGATGACTGGACCGCCCAACTAGTATGACCTCTGATCCAAAATTGAAGTCTTCTATTTTCATCAACCAAAGATCTATAAGTTTAACTATCTACAAATAAAAAATAAAATTGGCTAAACATTCGTCTGCTTGCATTTGATTTTTGGAATCCAGAATCCCGACGAGGATGAGCCAGGACCTCACTGAAGATGGGGACAACGCGGCAACGAGGACATCATGGTGTCGAGGACGAGCCAAGACCTCACCGGAGACGGGGACGACACGGCTCGTTGCAGCCTCCTTGATGGAAGAGACCCAGTAGGTTGTCGGGTTCGGGTGCGGGCGCTGGCTGCAGGTCGGGCAGGGCTGTGTGGTCATGCGTCACCTAACGTTAGGCCCGAGTTGAAGAGTGGGTCAAGGCAGAGAAGGATGTTGAAGAACAATATCATATTGATTCAACTGAAAATGATCGCTTGATGCATAGGCGATCCCATAGAAATAGACTTATCATAAAATACCATCAATAATCTATGATTATAGATGTTTATCCGGGCCAAAGTCAGCATTACTATTCTTTACAAACAACTTCTGCAAAAAAAGAACGTAAGCAAATGAGATCAGCCAAAGCCAATGTTGTTCTTTATGACGGCCAGGCCACACTGTGATAAGTTTGTTGCAACACAAAGCGAGGAGATTTGTAGCATGTAGGGGTCATGACTCACACCTTTTGGAACAATGTGGACAACCATCTGGCCCGTAATTCAGAAAGGTGGAAAGGCCATATGCATGGCTTACCCTAGAGCAAGCATAATAGGATGATATATGCGGGATATAAGGGCATGAACTATGATGGCATATGTATACATATGCACCATGAGAAAAAGTAGGTTGAGGCAACTACATTGATTTTTCTCCCCAACGTAAGCTACTAGTAATGGGCCTCATGAACGAATAGAAAATAGAGACTTTAGCACACATGCATCTCTACTCTCCACTTCAACTTTTTTAGCTTTTTACACCGGACCACACTTTTTCTTCTCAAGCACCCGCCTCTTGCAGAGGATCCCGCTTCCCCATCCGAACATACTTTTTTTGACACCCGATCCTATATGGCATATGGGGCATCACCCTGGGGCTATGCATTGGTCATGCCCTAAGAGATGCCTCAACAGATTTTTGCCTAGTTGAAGGTGAGAGGAGAGCAGAGGAAAGAGGAGTGGGTTGTAGACTTTAGCATGGACCCCAACATCCTTTGTGAGATAAGAATGTGAGTCATATATTAATGACATATCATATGACTAACTATTGTAGGAGTGGGCTATTAGGCTGGCTATAAATGACGTAGGAACTTCATATAGGCGATTGTTGGCTATATTATTAACCATGTTCTTAATTACTTTGGGGGGGTGTTGCTTTTGTCATATTACATGCTCCATTCGTTCCATTTCACATGCCTTTTTATTTAATATTAATGTTATATATTATATCATTTGAATGGAAAGTCCAATTTATATTTTGTTTTGCTCGCGACGAGGATGTTGAAACAAAAACACTCTTGGGAAGGTTTTAATAACTTTAAAAAATTAGTAAGTTTCAAAAGTTAAAATTTGGTTAAAAACAAAGTCCGTGTACTTGGTTAACTTGCTAAAACTTGGTGAAACTTTACAAAACCTTAATCCTAAGCCTAATACTCTAAAACTAAAATATTACCAACTAAACCCTAAAACCTAAACAGGAAATTAAAACTTGGTAAAACTTCATGAAACTTAACAAAAAACACATTATGAATTCTACATTTTCATATTTGCAATTCTACATTACTGTAGCTCCGAGTCCAAAGCAACCAAGCAACCAATGAAAGGGAACCTCAGACACGCCGGATAAACAAATAGGTAGAGCAGAGAGGTAACCTAAGGAGCGAGCTTGTTGTAGTTGGTCTAAAGGGGGAAATAAAGAACTGTCCCACTACTACTTCCTTGATTCCTGAGAAGAACCGACTACCGAAGTCCACGCTGCGACCCGAGCTCCTCTCAATGCCATTTTTTTTGCCAAAATAGAAATCAGCGCCCCGCCTCAGCAAATTACACAGCGAAGATGCCGCCATTTCACTACTGGAATCAGGATCTTTGCCGTCAGCCAGCTCTTTGTCGTCAGCCATCTTACGGCAAAGAAGGTCTTTGCCATCAGCTTACAGAAAACTAACGGCAAAGATAGAGCTGACGGCAAAGATCTGATATTTGCCGTCAGCAAGCTCTTTGTTGTCCGCTAGCGGACGGCATAGAAGCTTTGTCGTCTGCTAGCAGGCAAAGAGGGAGGGTGGCCCACTAACGAGTACCACCTAATGGCCACTTTCTTTGTCGTCTGCTAGCGGACACCAAAGATTCTTTGCCATCTGCTAGCATACGGCAAAGAGAACGGCAGCTAACGGCTAC